TCAACGGGAGAAGCCAAAAGGAGATAGCCTCTTGCACCTATCTAGGCAGCACTGTTCCAACTACAGGTGGCAGCACAGGCATAGATGAGGACATCAAAGCCAGCCAGGATCGGAAAGACGGCAAGACAGGAGTTCACTGACCTGAAAGTAGTGTAGAGATCTTCTGCACTCAGCATGTGGAACAAGATCCGGATTTTCAACACCAATGTCAAGTCAGTGCTTCTGTATGGCTCAGAGACTTGGCGCGTTACGAAAGAGATTTCCAACAAACTACAGATATTCATCAACAACTGCCTACACTGCTCCTTACTGAAGCTCAGATGGCTAGAATAATAAGAATAAGCAACAAGGAACTCTGGCTGGCTGGCTGGCTTGCTTGCTGGTAACGAACCAACCAACCAACACCCATCATTCAACAAATATGAACAGGAAGAAAGTGGAGATGGATTGGGCATACACTGAGAGGGCCGATTGGGGACATCACGCCTCAGGCCAGGCCGTCGAGTGGCACCCAGATGGGAAACGACAAGTTGGGAGTCCGAGGTGAGGTTGAGATGGAGGAGATGGTGTGAGGAAGAAATGAGAGATTGCGGGCAGTCGTGGAGCCAGGTTGAAAGCATTTCAAAGAACGGAGTGGAATGGAGACGTTTTACTGAAGCTCTATGTTCCATTAGGAACCCGAGGGACAAATAATAATTTAAAAAAATACTTGAAAGTGACAAGTTCGAAATGGAACCTATCGTCTAATAATACCTGTTCATATCATTTCTCAACCGAATACAGCTATTGTTAACGGCATCTCTTATATCATTTTTTGATGTATTCCCTGATTAAAGAGCATAAACTGATCATGGTTATTTGAGAAATAAAAGTGTTCTGAGTAAAAATTTTGATCTACTTTTATTCAGTCAGCATAATTTATACATAGCCCGCAAAGTCAAGATAATATCAGCGATGTTCAGCGTATGTTGTTACTCGTGTTGTCCCGTTGTGGCTCATTGGCCTGGTGGATAACTTTCTGGCATTAGGAACGATCGGTTACACCTTCGGATCTTAGCGGGAACAACATCTCTCACGGGCAGGCAAGTTCGTTCAGCTGGCAAGTCCCAAACAGAATGAACCATGCGTTCTAGCCGATATTCAGCATTAATTTTCAGTACAGTTTATAAACTTAGCTTTTGCTAATGTGGCACTGAAACTCAAGATATCTCATTTTGTAACTCGAGAAACAGCATTTATTGCTCACTCATCTCAAGACACTATAAATTAGTGCTGATTTTGAATTCAAGACAAAATCTAAGTTATACTGGGTGATGATTGGAAGTGAAATGAAAATTTGAACGGCTGCCGGATTCAAACCAGTGCTCACCGGGTTTCCGGCCGCTGTCCAGATTTTCACTTCACCTTCAATCATCACCCAGTATAACTACTAGTTTGCCAAACTAAGGCTACCTGCAATAGTCACGCGATAATGAAAATCTAATTTGTATTCCGTCCAATTCCTAACACACTAACATATGTAATCCAGTCCCACAGTAGGTCATTAGCAACCGGATTAGCTCAGTGGTAACGTCTCTGACTGTAGCACTGACATATGTCAGAATATGTGAAGAGAGTATCAGTTCCCTCGAAGTTGCAGGCACGTCTTGTTGACGAATGGTAACAAGTAAGAAACCTGGGTTAAGCAAGGCCGTTATATAGATTGCCTTCAGTTATTTAAGATCATCTTCCCCGCATGCAATTGATCCATTCACAACAATCCATATTGAGGTATCACTTTCTTTAACTGTCCAGTATCCAATAATGAATCACTATATTGTCTTAGGCTTACACCTAAGCAAGGAAAGGCGTTGATAGGTATGAAGAATTTATGAGTCTTATCAGAAATAACGCACACGAGCTACCATCTTCAGCGTTACGTAAGTTTCATTTCCAAATTCCTTGTTTATACATCCCGACAAGTTAATTTGTGACTGTATAACTAAATACCATTGCATTTCATACCAAGTAACCCAAAATCTGTAGTATGTTTCCACTAACTTAGCGATACAGAATAAGACCTGATAAAGCGTCTATTTAAATTGCTTTACAGAGTAGCAAAACACTAAATCGATTGCAGAGATCACGAAGTAGTTAAAATGTCGAAATCTTGAGCTTTTTTGACTATGGTCAGCGGTCAACTTTCTTATTCACATGAAAATGAAGCAGATAGAATACAGTTTTAGTGAAAATTAATCAAACTGCATAGTAAGCCTGTAGATAATAGAACAAACAGCAGTAATCTCAACAAGGTTTTCGTATTAACAGAAGTTCTCTACACTGAGAGGATGTAAGATTCTTCAGTGTTGAAGATATACTTTGTCGATAGGTGCTAGTAATCCTGAAATTTAGGTTGGGTAAGGCTGACTGCTAATTGAATCTTAGCATATCACAGAACGCAATCAGCAGTGGGAACTTAACTGATAGACAGAAGGTGAAAGTGATGAAGGACTGAGCAGTTAATAGAATTTATAACAAGATAACTAGAATGTGTCCTTCCCTTCTACCACGATTTCAATGATTTGTTTTAAAGAGACATGGTAGCATAACACTTGATTACGGTGATCATATCACCCTATTTTGTACTGTAGTATATTTTTGGCGATTGCATAATAAGGGCAAAAATAAAGAGATGAAGACGTTGAAGAGACATTGACTAATATATGTCATAATCTGCTGCGTAACTGGCAGTGGAATCCAAGACACACGTTTCATCCTATTTGGAACTCATCAGGTAGATGTACCTGCACCTCTGAGAGTGATGTTTTTCCCACCGAGACTCGAACCCAGTACTCATCACTTCAAACGCCAAAGTGTTATGCACTAGGCTACTGAAGAATGAGAGCCACTTCTTGTGTGATGGGTATCGGATGTTGCTGCGATCCGACCCAGTATAGCAACGAGAGGTTACAAACATAAAAAAACATTTCATAAAGTGGTCAAAACTGCAAAATGTTCTAGAAGATGAATTCACTGCCTAAGAAAATGAGAATAAGTTAACTTTCTGTACTATTCATAGACTCCTATTTGGTCAACATGTCAAATAATCTCAGTTGGAATATGTAAGGTCCAATCAATAAACTTCGATCATTACTAAGCCCTAAGGTCAAGATAGCTGCATCAGGGTGGTTGCCTACTGACGGCCAACTAGTCCACATAATCTAATCCTACAGCGGGTCAACCGTGGCCTGACTGACTTATTGGTTAAATCACTGACTTCAGCACCATATAGCGCAGGTTTAGATCCCCAAGGGAACATAAGTTTTCTTATGATTATGGATATACCATGCTGGTTGGCGGCAACAAGCTCGAAACATATATCGTTAGACGCCAGATGATTAATTCCGAAAATTGGATTAATCTTCATGTTTTATTGGTTCGCACAAATCGCACAATGGATAGTTTCAAATTGCATATTCCTTAATCCTAAGTGGTGACTATATTTCATCAACGAGGTTTAAAATAAGACTAATCCAACCCTAAAGGAGAGTCGTGTTACACTGCGAATAGCTGAGTGGTCACATCTCTATCTAAGGATGCATGTAAGGCGGGCTTGCTACCTTGAAAAAAGACCATTAATTTCACTTCATGTCTTCAAAAGATCTTACTGATTCATTCTGATGGGCGCAAAGTTCGAGTCCTGTATTGCTACTGATCTGTATCTTTTGACGATACAACAGTGCCATTGATTGTTATTTATTCTTTTCTGTATTTTGGCCATACATAACAAGTAGGTGGACACCAGTGCGAATTATTGACCGGATATCAATTGATACCATAATGAAACATACTTCAATTCTAGTTCAACACCAACTAGGAAGTTTGCTGCAGTCAATAAGTTAGATGACTTAATCTGGTTGGACCGTATTTCTTCCAGTGGTTTTCAACTGTTCGGAAATTACTGTCAATGGTGTATCCACAATCTCTAGAAAGCCTTTTACCATCTTAAGGGTCGTTATGCTGAATCCTGAAACATTTCTGCTCACTTATCTGACAAGTACTTCCATCAGAGTGGCCCAACGCTCCAAAAAAGGCTAACTGGTTTAGGATTACTATTATTATTTATCCCTACGGTTCCTAGTAGAACACAGGAATTCAATAACACGCTTCAATTACACTCTCTTCTCTACACTCTCCTCAACCTGACTCCAACACTCTCCACAAACTCTCATTTCCCTCCCTCACAACATCTCATCCATCTCAACATCACCTGACATGCCCAACTCGTCGTCTCCCATTTCACTTCCAATCGACGGCCTCACCTGACATGTGATGTCCCCAATCGGTCTTCTCAGTGTATGCCAAATCCAATGCAATCCAATCCACCTGAAATTTCTTCCTGTTCATATTTATTGGGTGATGGGTTGTTGGTTGGTTGGTTCGTTGCCAGCCAGTCAGCCAGCCAGAGTTCATTGTTGCTCATTCTTATTACTATGGCCTTATGATCTTCAGTGTCAGTATTGAGTGAGCGTAGGCGGCCATTGTTGATGCATGCCTGTAGTTTGTTGGAAGTGCTTTTCGTAACGCGCCAAGTCTCTCAATCATCACAAAGAAGTACTGACTTGACTGAATTAGTGTTGAAAATCTGTATATTGTTTTTTCGTGCTGAGTGCAGTAGATCTCGTCTGCGAATAAGCTTATCGACAACATTCTGATGTTAAGGATTCCGAGAATGACTCTGGACAAGTGTGTGTGTGTGCATGAATTATTCCTTGCAAACAAGCAGGTGTTGCACATCAATGTAGTCCCAGCTAATATCCGACCATTTTATGCGAATGAGTACGGTGAACTATTCTTCACCATATCAATTTATTTTTATTTTCTATCTGATCAAGGCGAAAACTTCATTTTCCTATACTTCATTAAAGCTCTGAAATAACTAAAACAAACTCAGTCTGAACTAAAATGAACTTGTAAATGTCAAAGAAGTACACAGAAAATGAATGCAAAGTTCTACTCACCTCTGTATCTAAAGTCCAAATAAGTTCTTCTTCAAATACTTGTTCAATATCCTTAGACATTGTTACTTCACGTCGAAAACCACCATTTGCTTGAACAGACATACTTGGTGGTCCAATTTGTAAATTTAAATTCCCACCTTTTGTAACAGCTTTTTGTAAACTTAATCGACATGATGAACTTGTACGACGTTCAGTACGTAAATGATTTGTTTGTGTTTCACTTGTATTATTAGTAAATAAAGATGAGAAGAGAACATGACTTTTAAGATTTTTTTTCACTGTTGGCGCTAAAATTGTTGTTGTTGTTGTTGAGTTTGGTTCTATATCACCATTTATCAAATTTGTTGAAAGATATTCAGTTTCTTTATGAATAATTTTTAACCGGGTAAAATCAATATCAGTCATTTGAATATCATCTAAATTAATTCGAGATTTTACATCTTTAGCAAATGGAAATTGTATCACATATTCAAGAATTAAATCACAAATATCGACAGTTTTACGTCCACCAGTTTGATGATTTTGCATAATGTCCTTTTTATAATTTCCTAACAGATAGTTTTTAACAGATCCTCAGGATTATAATAATGAAATAGAGTCTTTCAGAAATCCTTCATTAGTCAGTCAAGTCAATTTAAATCACGCTTCAAGGTTAACTTGACCAATATAGTATAATTTAAAAATTTAACGTCTGTTTGGGGAGGGCAGTTTATTTCACTATTGAATTATTGAATAATGCCTGTATACGCACATAAACATTAACCAATCAGAATAGAATATTTATGAACAACTGTTCGAAATAAAAATTATGATTAGTTTATAGGTCATTGAAAATAGTTTCGAAAAATAAGGTAAAAATATACAACATTTTTGTTGATTGATTATGAAGTAATTACTACGAAGCGGTACATTGAAAATCACAACAACTGGAGTTAATAGGATATACTATGAAAATGTCTTGTGTTTACTTTGAAAGATCAGAAGATGAATGCATATGTTGTTTAAAAGTGAACTTTAAGGCCATTTCTAACCAAATTCTGTGCTTCATTTCTATAGAGTTCAAATGTAACCCTTATTATTATCATCATTATTATTATTTGTCCCTACGGTTCCTAGTAGAACATAGGAATTCAATAACACGCTTCAATTACACTCTCTTCTCTACACTCTCCTCAACCTGACTACACCACTCCCCACCAACTCTCATTTCCCTCCCTCACAACATCTCATCCATCTCAACATCACCTGACATGCCCAACTCGTCGTCTCCCATTTCACTTCCAATCGACGGCCTCACCTGACATGTGATGTCCCCAATCGGTCTTCTCACTGTATGCCCAATCCAATCCAATGCAATCCAATCCATCTCCACTTTCTTCCTGTTCATATTTGTTGGTTGATGGGTTGTTGGTTGGTTGGTTGGTTGATTGTTTGGTTCCCAGAGTTCCTTATTGTTTATTCTTACTACTCTCGTCATCTGAGCTTCAGTAACGAGCGTAGGCAGTCGTTGGTGAATATCTGTAGTTTGTTGGAAATACTTTTCGTAACGCATCAAGTCTCTCAACCGTCATATGACAGCACTGACTTGACATTGGTGCTTTATGCTGAGTGCAGAAGATCTCTACACTGGTTTCAGGTTAATGAACTCTTGTCTTGCTTTTCACTCTTATTGGCAGTGTACAGTTATTTTATTGCAAACATTGACACCTGAAATTTGACAACATAAAAACGTGGCAGCTACCTTATGACTAGCACTTTTTTAGTATTTTCAAAGTGACTTCAGATTACTAGTGGATTGATATACAGTTTAGCAATCGATTTCTAGATTTTACAGACAAATCATGTAATAAATATCTAAGTCTGTACTGCATGCTTCAGTAAACAATATCAATGTCTACATACACTGTTGTCTATGGTGTTTCTGAAGCTTATGTTGGTTATATCGAAGTGTATAAAGAAACAAGTTGTTTCAACTGTAAAGCTGCAGATTTTTGTTAATGGAATAGTAGAAATCATTGATCCACTGTATTATCTAATAAGCCCTCATAGCGGGGTATTGTAGTGCCTAATAAACTTGGTTATAATTTTTATCTGTTATAAATTTTATATTCACTATTGACTGCAATTGAATGATGAATAACTTTTAAGGCACTCGTTGAATTTCGCCCACTTGACTTACCCACTAGAGTGCTTAGAATAACCACGTTATACTTCTACGAGTGCCTTTTTATTTGCTACATTGTGGTTGTCTAAAACAAATTGTTCAGAGCGTAGGCCATAAGTCCCTGGGTTCAACATTCGTGAGCCCGATAATGTGTACTGTTTGCATTCATTCATTTTAATCGTTTATCTATTAAATATGATTTTGTTTTAATGTCTGGCCTCATTGATTTTGATTCCGATTTTGGTAATGAGTCCGTTTCACTGGAGGTTGACACTCTAGTTACTACTAAGAATCGATTACCAGCCTTCGGTAAAGAAGAACCAAAACTACGGTTCGCCCAGCTGGAGTATTTCTTTGACCAACACAACATAAAGTCAGAGAAACTGTGATACAAAGACTTGTGCTCCATTCTTCCTCTCTCAGTCAGTAAAGAGGTCAGTGATCTCGTAATCAACACCCCCTGAAGAAGACCCTTATTCCACGCTCGAGCGTGAAATAATAAACCGTCTATCAATGTCAGACAGCCAACACATCTAGAGTCTGCTACAAGTAGAGATGTTGGGAGATAGATCCCCATCACAGTCTTTGAGACACTTGCAAAAGATAGTGGACGGAAATGCTGTCGGAGAAGCCATCCTCAAGGAAGGTTGGATTCAGACACTGCCCTATCATGTCCAGGACCCAAAAACCCCGCTTTCAGAATTGGCTCAAGTTGCAGATCACATTATGGAGACAGGAACAACCAGGGACAATCACTTATCACTGGATAATAGTCCTAGCTCATCTAAGGACGCTATCATCACTGAATTAGTGGCAAATGTAAAAACACTAACGGAATTTGTGGCTCAAATTCAACTGCGTCAAAGTCAAGGCGGCAAGTCGGCACTCAGACATAGATCGTGAAGTAGACCCGAAGGCTCGAGGCAGTCCGGACAATTGTGTTGGTATCACTGGAAATACGGTGAACAATCTAAACGGTGTACAGAACCATGTGCCTGGCCTTGGCAGTCCCCTGGCAAACAGGGGAGCTGAAGATCCCTTCTCAGATAGCGACTGCTGAGGAGGGGTGCCCGAACAGTCACCTGTTTTACGTCACCGACAGAAATTCTGGCATAGAGTTCTTGGTAGACACGGAGCCGCTCTTTAGTGTTCTCCAGCAAAACAAGGTCGAGCTTGGACACCAAATGTCCACAGTCACGCTGCAGGCTGCCAATAAAACACAAATAGCGACGTTCGGACAAAAGGCTATCACCCTGGATCTTGGGTCCAAACGGCAATTCCCCTGGGTGTTTATTATAGCAGATCTAGACCTCACAATGCTGAGTGTAAATTTTTTGGAGGGGTATGAATTCTAAGTAGAGACAAAGAAGGGAAGGTTGATGCTGAAGGAAACTTCTAGATGTACAATAGGCAAGGCCAGCACAATCACATCCCTAAACCTGCTACGATATCCTCCAATATCAACCTAAAGGTTTAGAAATATATTGTTGGATTTCCAAACCTGACGTTATCCAACGTGCAGACCTCTCGCGTAAGTCCTAAGGTGACGCATAGCATGAAAATACATGGCCCCCCTGTATTTGCAAAACCCAGGAGGTTAGTGCCAGATAAACTGAAAATCGCTAGGGCTAAATTTGACTATATACTTCAGTTAGGCATCATTCGCCCTTCCAAGAGTCAGTGGACTTTTCCATTGCATATGGTGCCCAAGAAAAATCCAACAGACTGGCGACCATGTGGTGGTTATAGAGCGCTGGATCCAACATTATCACCTTCGTTTCATCGAGCTTTAAACTTGTTGTTACTGCTTGCGTTGCTTTGATTTTACTCACCCTCTCCTTTATTTGACTTCCTCTTTGCTTCTGTGCCAATTGAACAGAAGTACAACCACAGTTAATGAAATTTCTCCCCTGAATTCATATTTTTTCCACATCGTCAAAATAGGCTTTTGCTTTCATGACACACGGGATGAAATGAAAAAACTTTTCAGCCTAAAATAGTTTAACCAAGCTAACCAACATACTGACTCTCTAAACAATGCATGAAATATATTACCAAAATTCACTTCGTACACTGAAAACAGGCTGTCTGTGTTGCTTGACTGATAATAACTTTCGCATTAAAATTATCACAAGAGGTTAGAAAAGATCCATACTGTCAAGCTTCTGAACGTTTTGAGTATATTGGGAAAACGATCGGTAGAATTTAGTCAGCACCCAGAATTAGACAACTTGAAATTAACTACACTTCAGTAAAGCGTCAATCAATAAACAAACCAAAACAACGAAAACGAGGGAAATAGTAAGAAATATTCGAGACAGGGTGATCGGAACTAGTGATCTCGGGGTGCTAGCCATTTTCATGATACAGGTTACAGTTTCCAGTAAAATTATATTCCGTATCACTTTTGCAAACCAACAATATCTCATCCAGTCTAATCAGTAATGTAGAATGAACTGAATAACTACATTTTTACTACCTTAAAAATATTGGAACTTCAAGGGAATTGCGTGGAATCAGGCTGCTGTCCATCCAATGCAAAATATTATACCGCATCATCCTAGAGAGACTAGAAGATGCGCTGTATTCAAAATTGTGACTGGAATAAGCTGGATTCAGGAAGTACAAATCATGTGCATTATCACAGAAAAGAGTGTAGAATGCCAGTCAAATCTACCTCAGCTTCATCGATTTTGTAAAGGCCTTCGACGCCGTCGACCGACAAGTAATCTGGCAGGCAGCTACTTCAACACTACGGAATACCACAAACATTTATCAATCTCATTCAACAGCAACTAAATGACATATGATACTACATGACAAGCGATTCAGTGACGCCCTTGAAGTGAAGACAAGAGTAAGAAAAGGCTAACACATACTATCAACAATGATCAATCTTCCTGATTGTGGACGACCCTACTAGATCATGCAAGGAGATCATGTGAGCAGCTGTGAGAAGATGGGCATCCCCTGCTCGACTGATGAAAAGACCATAGGACTTGTGGATTTCACCGATGATAATTCGTGTCTAATGTCGCACAAACTTGAGGATCCACAGGTGAAAACCAACAAGTTGACAGAAGAGGTAGGGCAGGGTAGGGCAGAGCAAGACAGCGAAGACGGGAATTCCTTCAAGTGAATGTGGAGAAGACGGAGGTGATGAAGATACCCAACCAACAACAACAACAACAATGACAACAAGCACCAATCACCATGAACGGGAGAAATGTGAAGGAAGTTGTCTCGTTCACCCACCTACCTACCTACCTACAGCCCCACACCTACCTACCTACCGAGGCAGCATCGTTCCAACTACAGGTGGCGACACAGGCACAAATGAGGTTGGGGATTTCAAAGCCAGGAGAGCAAATAAAGCAAGACAGGCCTTCATCAATCTGAAACCAGTTTGTAGAGATCTACTGCACTCAGCATAAAGTGTGATCAACATCCGAATTTCCAACATCAATTCAGTCAAGTCAGTGCTTCTTCGTGATGATTAGGAGATTTGGCGCGTCACGAAAAGCAGTTCCAACAACCTGCACACATTCATCAAC